CGCCCGGGAGCGTCTGGGGATTTGCTGCAGCGCGGAAGCTCCCGTGACGCAGGACGCGCGTTGGCGGGATTGCCCTTCTCTTGGTCCTTGCTGGCCGTCCGGTTCCCCGCCACTCCGTAGACGCAGTGCTCGCGCCCTTCCCGCGTGTCTTTTCTTTCCTTGGCTTTATGCGCCGCTTTTGCAAGCACTTCCGCACGCTTCGGTTCACTGGGAAGTCTAGATTGCAGCTTCACCATGCTTGAAATCCTGCGCTGTAGGAATCAAGGAGGTGTTATTCTGATGGAGAAGGTTAACACGGCAAATGAGGGGGTTGGGTACCGAACCCTTCCACATAACTAGATCTTCAAGCGGGTTAAACCTACCATGTCCTCGTCAAGAAGAAAGATGGGGTGGTCGGCCCAAGTAAAGATTTACAGTATCAGAAACACTTAGGAGCAGTTTCCCTGTATCCTATAGGCTCACTGTGAGTCAGAATCTACTCAAAGGCAGCGAGAAGTCCCCATGTGTCCCTGGAGGAAGTAAATGTTAAGAGCCCTGGAAGCATCAGCAATAAAAATATTTTAAATGAGATGGGGCTTCCACATATTTGACTTCTTTTGTCACACTGTGCATACTATTTTCCCACAATGGTATTTCGTTCATACCTCTTCATTTGCTTCACCACTCTATGTTGCAATGGTTTGTAAATTGATCTCCCACGCTCAGTGGTAAGTTCTCAGAGCGTGAAAACCTACATCTTTGTGTCAAACACATATAAGAGGGAGAAGGAGAAATCTGGAGGCTCGGGAAGATAGGTTGTGCAGTTTCCACCGTGTAAAATCGCCTCTTAAAAGGCAGCGAGAAGAAGGAAGCAAAGGGGTTCTGGCCTGTTCTAGGAAATGGCCTGGCCCAAGGCTTTTACTTGTTTCCCAGGTGTTTCCCAAATGCAGTCAGAAGCTGTCCTAGGCTCTAAGTGCTTCTCCCACTCACAGATCACGAATAGAAGCTAGTATGGGTTGAGATCCCTCTAGATGCCGGAGACTAGTCTAAGTGTAACACACTTGTTATCCCAATACCTTACAACCATGTGAGGCAAGTCCTCTTACCATCTTCACTTTGTCCATGGGATGATTTGGACACAGCCTATGGAGGCCCTTAACTCGTTGTTGCTGCTGGGTGCCGAGGGCACACACAGTGAACGCATGTCCCACAGGAACTCACACTGTCTGGTCCTGTGCCATCCTCACAACTGTGGTTCTTGCACCACGTCAGTCCATCTCATGAGGCGTCTTTCTCTCTTGCACTGACACGCCACCAAGTATGTTCTGCAGGGGTGGGTCCCTCCTGAGAACATCACAGAGTACGTGAGACCGAGGCTCACCAACCTAAGGAGTATTCTGGCTGTACTTTTCCAAAGATAGATTTGTTTGTTCTTCCGGCAGTTCAATATTCTTGGCCCCACGTCATACACATCAGGAGAGAGCAGCACTGGGATTCAAACCCGGGCACCTAGAACCAGAGCCTACACTGTTCATTGTGGTCATGTCAACAAAAAAGTGGGTGAAGGGAGACATCGGTCAGTGTAAGACATGAAAAATATATATATAAATTATCAAGGGTTCACGAGGGTGGGAGGTGTAGGGGAAAAATGAGCTGGTACCAAGGGCTCAAGTAGAAAGAAAATGTTTTGAAAATGATGATGGCAACATATGTACAAATGTGCTTCACACAATGGATGGATGGGTGGATTGCGATAAGAGCTGTACAAGCCCCCAATAGAATGATCTTTTTTTCAAAAAAATTGTCATGTATGTATGTGAACTGAGCTATTTAAGTGGGCTTATGCTATGTCATAAATTCAGAAAATGGAAACCATGTGTTGTAGAAAAAGTTATTGTCCAACAAGTACTTTGTAATGGTCCAGATGACTTCCAGAGCTAGCATTTCCTAGCGCCTCCCACCTCCCCGCCCCCCCCACACACACACTCAGCCTTTTCTCTATTTCAGGACGGAGCTTGTGTGGGGACAGTCATCAGGAGGAGAGTATTCGGAAGCTAGAGTGGTGGTCTTGTCTGGAGTAGTTCTTACAGGCTCATCACTGCCGCTTCAGCTTGCAGCCGAGAGAAATGAGGAAATGGCTCCATCCCTACATCTTATTTTGTACATGGATCTAGTCTCTGCTTTATTCTAGAAGAAGGGACTTAATTAGCTTATATAAACGTACCCGATAGGGTACCCTAAATATAAGTACAGAGCAGAAGAGCGCTGGGGTGAAGTGGTTAAGTAAGAGCTCTGCTGCTAACATTAGCTGTGGTTCAAGGTTGGTGGTTCAAACCCACCACGGACTCACTGGCCGAGAGGTGTGGGCGTCTGGCCCCCCTAAAGATGCATACCTTGGAAATCCTACCGGGCAGATCTAATCTGTCTCCATAGGTTGCTCTGAGGCAGAACCAACTCGATAGCAGTAGGTTTGATTGTGGTACAGCAAGAGATTGGGCAGAAAGAAGCTACGAGAGGCAGTTTTCTATGCAAACGTTGTGGTATAGGTCATACTGGTTTGCTAGAGAGAGGCCACAGACATGACTCATAAACTCTCTAGCAACCAAAGAAAAGATCAGTTGGGAGGAGGTGTTTTGGCTGAGCTGGAACTAGGAGTTGAATCCCCTTGAGAAGTTGGGTGCCACTTCCCTGAATCTCTTCTGTACCGGAGCCGCATGGAGTAACAGAAGGTTTGTGACTACTCGCACAGGTGCCTGCTTATTCTCCACTTTTCCCAGGGCCTTTGCCCTCCGTGGAAACAGCGACAATAACAAACAAAACCCAAACCTGTGGAACATGGTCTATGGTGGTGTTTCAAATCGCTGCAGACATGTATCAAGGAAACTGGATCGCTCTGAGAGATTATCACCAACTGAAGCAGAAAAGGAGAAGCGGGCTCTGCCCAGAATTCTGGGGGTTAGAAGGGACCGGGCAGTGGTTTTGAGTACTGTCTGCAGCCAGTCCACCCCCTGCAGAGGGTCCCCTGCCTAGGAACCCTGGGAAAGAAGAAACCCCTCCAAACCTGGAAGGGCTCTAATACTAGAGGCTCAAACAACTTTCTATGGGACCCCGCTCCGAAAACAAGGGGAGCATTCAGGAGTCTTCAGATTTTAAAGCGAAACCGTCCTATGTTCTATCTGGTACTTACATCCCGGAAGCTTGAAGCAGACCATATGACTATTAACATTAGGTAAGATAAACAGATGCTACAATTAAGTTCTATTTGCTACCACTGTATCTTTGTCGTCGTACCCCCCTCCCCCAGTGTGAAAATGTTTATTGAGGGGAACCAACCAACCAACAAACACCTCTCATCTCACTAGATGGCTGCTGTCAGTCTTTATTTTTTTGGATATACATGGCGAGGCGATGTATGATGCGGGGTCAAAAAGCTCGTGGAAAAATTCCTTGATCTTTTCATTCCGTTTTTGTTTTTGTTTTCACGCACCTTTGCAAACCCCCTGGGAGGATGCATCTACACCTATCTCTTTTCCAAATTCTCCATTCCGTGACATCCTATTGATGACTTGCAATTTGCCAAGATGAGCGCGTTTACACCAGTGAAATCCTACCAACCGTAGTAGCCTTTTCCTCCAGAGCTACGTGTTCAACACCCACCAGCACATCCCTGAGCAGAAGACGACATTTGGGCCTCAGATTTCAATATCCTGGGGCAGTCACAGAGATGTCTGTGGAAGGGACCTTCTGATCTTTACTTGGATCTCCTGATAGTTCAGAGGCTTGGAGCATTGTGAATTGCAAGTCTTATTGGAAAGGTGATCTTATTTATACTCACTAGCAGGGTGTGCTGGCAGCCATTAGATCAAGGCAGACCAGTGTGTAAAGGAACCCAGGCGCCACCGTACTGAGACCAGAGAGAGGCCCCTTTGGAAGGTCCAAAAATAAAGCACTACAGAAGCCAATGAAGAGCAGCCTCGTCACCCCCCGTAGTTAAGACAGCAAAGACTTCCTTCAGGGAGCTTTCTTATAACACCTCTCGATATCAGCCAACGTGGTGTGGCAGTGAGTGAGGTGAGGTGGCAGAATACACAGGTTGTGATATACAGCTTCTTGGTGCCCTGCCTTATCCCAAGGTATTTGAACGAATGAATGAGTGAATGAATGAATGGGCATTCATTAGACTGTGCTCCCATCAGTAGGATGCCTCTCAACCATGTCTTCAGCGAGTCTTAAGTGGTAATAGGGTCTACAGCTTACTAGAGGTACCTGGAGGGCAGCCATTCAGTGTCTCAGATGTCACCGGCTTCGTGTAGGCAGCTCAGCTAAAGAAAGTGGAGAACCCAGACGCTGACACACATCACAGTCGGAAGCTGTCCGCTCTCTACAGAGCTTGTATATTGGACAAGGCCAGGATTTTCCCTTCAGCTTTAGTTCATTTCAGTACATCGAATAAGGGTCATCAAAGTCCTACTTTCTCAGCTCTGCCCTAAGGAAAGCCTTCAGTCATAACGGCCTGGGGAAAAAAATCGTAAAGGAGGCACAAGGAAGCTTCAAAAAGTTCACGGCAATTTGGAATAAAGAGATAAGGGAATTTTTCCATGAACTTTTTAAAGCACCCCCTTCACAAATGCCTTTGGCAAATAATCATCCTCTTCCCACTTCCAATGCATATGCACAAACTCTAAGTGCTAACAATTCTCTGGTATATCCTTCCCAATATACTACTTCCTGAATGAAAAAGAAATGCCTAGGGAATGAAAGAATTACCATCAATAGAGAAGGTCCTTCAGGTGTGATGGACAGCTACCACCAAGAATGACGATGACATTTCTACAGGTTTAATATGTGATCCTTTTAGTCTTCTTCCTCTTATTAGATGACAGGGCAGTCTTCTCTTTAGGTCAGCACTAATTTGTTTCAATAAAACCATAGAGAGCTCGAGATCCAAAACTGTTTCTCTTTCCATGTTCTCCCATCCTGCTTATTCAAGGTTACCAGGAAGTAACTAAAGGAGGTTGTTGGTGCAGAAAAGTAGACACATTGTGAAGGCTTGTTTCAAATAAAACAATGTGTTTTGTTTCTAATGATGGCACATGATATCCAAAGGAGGGATTACTCACCTTCTCCGGGAGATTTACTGCTGAATACGTTCATAACGCTTTGCTGCAACTGGTTGTGGTAAATAAAACAAAGCATGGTCAGCATTCTAATGTACTTTAAGAAGGAATCGCTATTCCCCCAAAACCACACTAAAATG